ATCTTTGAGGAAAATGCCTAAACCTGCTCAGTGGAGAAAAGTTTATTGCCTCTGAGAAGTGATCTGAAGGATCTAAGGAACACCCTGAGAGCAGCCTACGGGCACTCAAAGCACTAGTGGAAGGACCTGGGTGAATATATTGGAACATAGGAATCCAGCCTTCAATCTGTATTTGTCCACTCAAATCAGTGGCTGGAGTACTCAATTATTTTCTGTATGAAAAATATTTACATTCATAAGAGAGAAAGGAGTCCTGAGGCAAAGTGCATACCTTGATCATGGTGTTTTCTGCCAGCTAGAAAGCAAATAAGGGGAGGGATAAACATGGTGTCTTTTGGATCTGTGCTTGACAGACAGATTTCTTGTCTTTTAATTGCTATTTGCAGCAGTAGAGACACCTAAGGCAGCCATGGAAAATCACACGGACAAGAAAGGCTTTTATGTTCTACAAGGACATTCAGAGAAGTATTCGGCTTGTGAGTTTAGGTACAGTCTAAAGTAAACAGGAAGCTTATTTTAAACACATTAGGTGGACAGCATGAGTGCAAAGAATGAGCTGTAATTTCCAGTGTTTGTGACTGAAGCTCTGGTGAGGGTCAGATGCACAGTCCAGGCAAGAGTCCTCTATCGATAGGTGTGACACAGAGCATATTTTCAGCCTCCATGACAAAGGCAATGTATGGACTTTCTCTTTAAGCCATCATAAGTAACTGCTATAGTAGCTGGAGTCATAAAAATAAGTTTCTTTACTTAATTCAGCTTTAATTTTTTTTGAGTTTCACCAGTTTCTGCATTGGGGATAAGGCAGCTAAAGTTTAGTTCCTCGCTCTAGGTAATGCTGTGCCCAACTGCTAAGTTGTTTAATGTCTTACCTTCTCAGTCTGTAAATGAGGGAGTGTTATGTGAATAAAATCTATGATAAAAGAGAGCTATGATGGAGGCAATTTCAATTATTCAGCTTTGCAATGCATAATGACAGTCTCATTTTCTTTATTTCTTCAAATATCACTCAGACATCAACAATGAGCAGCAACAGAACTGTTCAGTGTCTTTATTGAGCTGCATGGATGAAAGGCAACTGACTTATTCAGCCTTTGTCTGGCACATCCACAGGACTTTCCCTGCACTGCTTAGAGAAGAGACATAGGTGTATGGTACGTAGAGTACCATATTTCTTATAACTACCCTTTAAACCTCTTTTACCATAACCAAACTAAAAGCGCATGCTTAACAATTTTCAACCGTTTTACAACCTTTTCTAACCTATTTTTAACCTATTTTCTGTACTCACCTTCCACCCTTGGAGGAGCTGGGCTGGGCCTCATGCAGTGTAAAAGGAGTCTCCACAGGAGATCCAGGTGAGCAGCTCCTCTGTGCTGCTCAGAGCAGCAGTTTGTCTGAGATTGCAGGTCAGAGCCTGCAAATTTGTCAGGATGGAGATTGCACATTCTCTCTGGAAGATCCGTTCTGGTGCTTAACCCCCATGCTAATTGTTATCTCTTTTTCCTTATCTCTGCTTGCACACTTTCTTAGTTTCAGGTAACTCATTCAGGGTGGCAGGCCTGCCAGTTATCTTCAAACGTCAGGAGTTAAGTAACATTTTCCTCCTCCCCGGAGCTTTGTGCACCTCCAGGCTGTGTCCCGTCCCTAGGATGTTACAGGCGTACAGGTGTACCATGAGCTGGAGCTGATCAGGCACCGGAACTGATTCATGGATTCATCAGTGAGGTGCTCTGGAGCTAGTAATGTATCTTGCACAAAAAGAGTGAGAGAAAATGTTATGATGAGTTACCTGGGCCTGTAACAAGTCCTCTCTCTATCTGGCTGTTTCACACAAATCTCTCGTGTCGCCCTGAGTCTTATTCCCAAACTGTGTCCTCTTGTACTGCTAGAGAAAAGCTTTTGTTCTCCAGTTTCCTGACACTGAGCATATTTTTTAGAAAGACCTGATCTTTTATATTTGTTGCTGGGGGGAAAGGACTTTCCCTTTTGGCTTTTTTTTTCTCTCATGGGATGTTGTCCCATCTGTTGCTAAGTGACAAAAACGACCGGTACTTAAGAGAGACCAAAGAAATGGCCAAGATGAGGGAAGGGTGGAGCTGGCTGGGCTACCACCTGGGTGTTTTTCCATTGGGAAGGGTGAGATTTTGGCCAGGCGCTGAGGAGGCGTGAGGGGCGGGGCGCTGCTCCCTCCGCCTCCGCCATCGCCGCCTGAGGCTCGCGCCGCAGCGCCCCCTGCCGGCGCGGGGAAACAGCGCGGCCGCCCGACCTGCGGGGGCCTGCAGCGCCCCTGGCGGCCGCGGCCGGAACTGCACCGGAGGGAAAGCGGCTGCGGCCCGCCGACTGCAGCGCCCGGGTCTGCGGTTCTGTGTCTGCCCTGTTACACACCTACACACTGCTAAAGAATGTTATTCCTTTTCCCATACCTCTGGCCTGAAATACCCTTAATTTTAAAGTTATAATAATTTTGTTATAAGTGAAAATTTATCCAGCCAAATTAAAATGAAAAACATAAATTAATTATTTTGCAATCAAATTCTATCTACCCAGCCACAAGGAAAGCACAGAGCCGAGCCCGGGGTCAGCCCTGGGTGTGCAACAAGGAGTCAGCCTCAGCAGAGGTTTTCCTCCATGCCCACACACCTCCATCCTGGCACAAGCGGTTTTTATAGGGAAAAGGCCAAGATTTCGGCAGTCAGTCTTTTCTTCCATTCAAAGTCCATAGGTTAATAAGATTTTCTTTTTTGGTGATGAGGAAGAACAATTCAGTGTCAGGAGTTGTTGAATCCCTTGATGAAGTTTACGGGAATGCTGCATTCACATGTATCTGCCCAAGGATTTCCGTGACATCCATCTCGGGTCGTTTATGCGATGATCAGCACCTGGGGTCCCCCCATCTCCTGGCCAAGCCACGTCCTTTTACTTGTAAATTGGGTTCCAATATACACCAGGTCTTGCCTTTGAGGGTGGGGGGGGCGGGGAGGGCTTCTAATACAAACATAATCTAACATAAGTTAACAAGTATCCAATATTACATATTTCATACAAGGAATGGCACGAATTATGTTCACTACACATAACAATTTGGAGGTTCTTGCCTTCCTTGGCAGACATCTGTCCTTCAAACCAAGACATTTGTCTAATGTTTTCAAGACATTAACTGAAACACTTTAAATCCATACAGTTTCAGTGGCTGAATGCCAGAAGTTTTCAAGTTTCTCGTTCAGTAATTTGCAACCAGATGTAGAGGAAGGGAAAGGAAAGGATCAGCAGAGCAGAGAAGTCACACTGGGGCATCCCTGAACATCTATACAGAAAGTCAGGCTGAGATCATCCCAGTCTTGTTGTGAGGGAATAAGCAGGATCTCTGACAGGAAACTTAAAAGTACCTCATATTTCTGTGGTTGATTTTACACAATCTGCACTCATCCCTTCAATACCTTGTAGCCTCCAGAATATTATAGTTGGTTCTCTAATCAGCTGTGTTAGCTTTAGCTTTGCATATACCATTTTTCCTACGTTACCAAGGACCTGATTTTTGAAACAAGCTCTCTTTCCTTTAATAAAATCTGAAAATGACATTGCAAAAATAAAAGGACTTGTATATGCAGAGCTTTTGCACTTAGGGGTTTAACCATGGGCTGAATGCTTTCACAATCAGAAAGTTAGAGTCAAGGAAACAAAAAAACTAGCAAAAGTGCAAGAGCGTGGTTACAGAGTTTATTAAAGTACATGTCACTTGGACTTAATCAGGAAATTTGTTTATTCAGGACATCTCTTGGAGCAAACCTAATTTAAGCCTAATGACATTTAATAGTGCTAACTCTGGCTTGGTGAAGATGAGGATTCCATTTAATTGGGATGCCTCCAGGTGATGCAATGGTGTTTGTGTTTGTTTGTGACAACTGCAGGCTGGTTCTGACTGTTTATATACCCAGCAGCAGCCTTCAGTCTCTGTCTAGATGCCAGGCATTAAGGCAACCCAAGAAAAAAGGTTTGAAATTCTTCAGTGAAGCTTTAATTTGGTAAAAAACATAACATATTCACTTGCCCTCAGCAATGTTAGTTGGTCTCTTGGCGTCTGTCTCCCTGTGTGCTTCTTCCCAGGAGGGCTCTATTCTTGGCCACCTTCACAGTGCCCTCCCCTAATGTCCCAGGACCCATTCCATGCATGTAAGCTTGCTGCACAGCTTCCTGAAGAATGACATGAATATTGCAATGGCATCTGGTGTCAGATGGAAATTCAGGCTCATCAGGATGAAGGCCATCCACAGGGGTGTCCTAGAGAAGAGACTTCTAAGGCAGATTGCCAACAGCCTCTGTTTTAGTAATAGAGACTTTAACCTTCATAGCTCTTTTGGAGCCACTGCTGTTGAATTAACAGCCTCTGTGTTTGTCTATGCTCTCCCTGCAGCACCAGCATCCAGCTTATTACTGAAAAGCTCTTTGGAATATCTGGAATAGGAAAGTGCCCAAGAAAGCCAAATTTCAATCTTTTATAACCCCTTTCTCAGTCCCAGGGGAGGGTGAATGTGAGGAAAATTGGCCATTTCAGTACCTTCAGTAGGACTTGCTACATCCACAAAGCATAACACTTAGATCTTGTCTGCACACAGAAGTGGTGCTGATTTAAATAATCAGGTTTTAAATTAATTTAACTGAACTGGTGCAACCTTTTTATGTAGACTTTAAATCAATTTAAGAAGAGCCTTTTATACTTATTGCTCAAGGGTAGAGTCAGATAATCATAAGTGATTGAGTTAGAGTGTGTCAAGAAGTTATTGTCTCTTCAGATGAAGGCTATTCTGTCTGCTGGAAATGTCATACTACACCTCCTCAATCCACCTTAGCTGGAATTGCACCTCTCACACACTGCACTCCTGACTTTGCAGGTGTTCTCAGTTCCCTGCACTACAATTAAAAATTAAAACTAGCATCTCTTCCATGACTGAATCCTTGGCTTTCTGGCCTCCACAGTGAAGCAGCATCAAAAAGATCAAGGGGAGTGGTTTCACGCTGGGAAGCCTGGATAGCAGCAGTAGGAAGACAAACCTTTAAAACAAAAATCATAAACCAGAACAATTTCTTTACTGATATAAAGAACTGCAGATGTCTTGATTACAATGAAGTTTAACTAATCTGTACTGGTAGAGAATTTTCTATAAAAACCTTTCAACATAACATCCATGAGGTGCAGGAGAGGAGGAAGCCAAGAGAAAAAGACAAGCAACCAAAGATATATGTGCGTATTCTTGCACATTCTTGTATGTTCAAGAAAACAAACATGTGTTTTCTTTCCTTAATACTTGGGTACCATTTAAAAGGGGGCATGATGCCCATAATGCTTATGCTCTTGAATTAGTGCTGGAAAAATCACTCCATACAGTGCAGAACTTCTGCTGAGAGGAAGGTGTCCTGCTAAAACACAGGTAGAAGAGTACTACGACTAGAGAGCCATGTGCAGTTGAGTAAGAAAAGAATTTGAATAACATAATGCAAATTGGTGATAGTGGTTACAAAGAATCCCACCTCATGTGAGACAGATGCTGGTATTTGAGTTTTCCATGTGTCACTTGGATGAGTGAATGGATCTCTCCTGAACTTTTCAAAATACTGCATTTTTAAATAGATGTGTAATTTTCCCCATTTTTAAACTATAATTTACTTTCTGCTCTAAACCAGAAAGGCCATCTTGACCTCTTAAATAAAACATTTTAATTGAAAAGAAGACGACATGTTATGCCAAAGGAAAATGCCAGAGGAGCTAGCCTTTTTCTGCAAAAAGCTTCATTCTGATGAATCAGCATGTTCTGACAAGAATTTATACAAAATATTCCTGTTCTGCTCCAGGCCTGAATGCTGGTTCTCCTCTGCAGCTTCTCCAATGCTAATATAGCAGATCATATCCAGCTTGATGGGTGTATTTGGTTGATAGCCAACAATATGCTCCTGTAATAAGTCACACAAATAATGGGGGCTATTGGGGCTTACACAACCTTCAGCATGTTGGGACATTAATCTGAAATATAAGGGGACACGGGATTTTAGTCCTATATATATATGTGTGTGTGTATATATATATATACACACACAGACAAGTGCATATGTATACATGCCTCAGTATGGGTATATATGGGTGGATTGGGCTGTCTCTGAACTTGTAGCATAGTCTCTACAAGGATAATGGAACTGCTTTCATTTTTTCTTTAATTTACCTGAACAAAAGCATTCTCACCCTAGGTTAGGAAACATCAGAACTACTAGAGAGTGTGTCTCCCAGTCTGTGAAGAAGAACCTTCTAACACTGAAGAAGTTCTCACAGAATGTGATTTCCCTGACACTCAACAGCTCTGTCAGAGCAGTATTTCATTGGTATATTATTATGCACAGAAGTGCACACTCAAGACATTTCTGTTTACTCAGAATAGTGTTTACTGAAATACGTTCTGCAGTTTGCCATTCCTTACGGAAGATAATATTGTATATACAAGAGCAAATTGAATATATGCAGTGCAGTAATTGCCATCATGCCCAGCAATTTGATGTGTTTGAATACTCAAGATAGATAAGGTTTCTCTAAGGATTACCCCTCAGCACATTCACAAAATTTAATTTTGTATTGTTACTTACAATTTCTTCTAGCATATTACTCATAAAAGAAAAAAAAAATGCTGTGAATACATTCTTTGAAAAAATGTTGCACATGCTTCCCACAGTCTCTACCCTTGGGATCTTTGGAAAGCAGTTTTATTTTTCCTCCATGCAGTAATGGGTTCTGTCACTGAAGAGCAATCCAGGACCATTATTCTAGAATGAGGCTTGGGGGAACCTGAGTGCTGACTATGCAAATCCACACCCCTCTTGTACTTTGAATACCTTCATGTATTTGTTCAGTATTTGGTAAAAGAATTAGGTGCTAAAAAACCTGACCTAGTTACCAGATCCTGCTGGGAAACAGTTGGAAGAGCAGTCAGTATTTAAATGAAGATATGAAGGAGTATCTGTGGGAAAGAAAAGGATTGCTAAAAAAACAAAAAAAAGAGAGAGGATTTTTCTGTTTGTGATTTTACGGGATTCTGATACATCATGGCATGAAGCATAGGCTAGAACAAAACACAATGAAAAAAATATAGGTAAGTTTGTCTGGGCAAGGGTTGAGTTTCAGCCCTGGTGTGAAGGCACTTGCATGCACTTGTACTGTGCATACACATGTACTGACCTCTCCAGCATCAGTCATGGCCCTACTTGAACTCCTTCCTCAATACCCCTCACACTCTTTTGGATTTTCCATTCTGTTTCTTCCTCCTTTTCACACAGCCTTCCATCTCTCTGTCTTTTCATCCCAGAGCCCCAGATTTACCTGAGGAGTTAGCACTATGAACAAGTACCCATTACAGAGTGGTATCTATTATAAACCTTTTCTTAAAATCTGAGGTCTAGCTGATTGCGGCAGTGTAGATGTCAGTCTATGTAAAGCACAAAACTTAGTGACCCAACAGAAATATTTCAAAATAGCACAGTGTACTCAGTATTCACCATTTCTTTCTGGAGACGATGGGAGAAGAGCAAACTGCAAATAACAGGCAGACAACATCATCTGATGGGCCACCAGGACAGATTTGTATATTACTGTCAGAGTGATGTAAGAACTGCATGAACTGGAAAGCAGAGGAGAAGTACCACTTGCCCAGTTCCAGTAGTTTCTATGTCCCTCGTGCTTTGACCCACTGATCTGCACTGTTCTTGCACCACTCTTTCATCATCAGGAGGTCTTGCTTGGGCCTGCTCCATCCAGGATGTTAAGACAGCACAAGAGTTTCTCTCTCTTGTCCTTCCTTCCTCCTTTCCTGATTCAAGTAAATCCACTTTCATGTTTTTTCTGGTTCTGGCTACTGGCTTTGAAGTCCCCTTCTTTCTCTTCCTCCCTCCCTTCTCCCTCCTCCTGAGACTTTCTGACAGGAAGAAGAGAAGGCTTTTACAATAAACAGCAAGAGAGTTTTGTGGCACTAATCAGCATTTGCAAATGAAGATTAACAAAAAGTGCAAACAAGCCTATGTGATAACTCCACAGTCTGACCTAATCTTAATGAAATCTACCAGATCTATTTATATAAATAAAAATGAATTTTCTTGCTTTCAACATGGTGCAATTTGCGCACGTAGATTACAAGTGACACACACAATTGTTTTCCCTGCATAAGTTCCCCAACTTTAAAGAGCTTACTGACAGCTCCCTGCAAAGTGAAGACATGTAGCTGCCAGAGCTGTCTCAACTTTATTCAGCTCCAGCAGGAGGGCTCCCTTGATTTTCTTTTAGAAATCCATTCAATTTAATTCCTTGCTTCCCTGAGGACATCAGGCAAGACTAAATGCTAAGAGGAGGGGGGGATCTCTGTAAGCTGGCCTGATGGCATGCAGTGGAATAAGGACAGAGAGGGATAATATTGTCTGAAGAGCTGTGGGATTTCCCACTCGGAAGTGTGACTTGACCTCACAGTTTTTTGTATATTACCAACAAGGGCTGAGCACTGTGCACATAGAAATGTATATTTAACTTAAAAACATTTAAATGGGACAATCTAGCAAAGCTCTGACACACTAACCACATGTGAGGCAGAATGACCAAAAAGGAGGAGCTGGTAGCTGAATCAGGAGGCATCACCTTGAGGGAAGATTCAGTTATCTTGTGCACAAAAGAGTTCACATCTCCTATTGTGGGAAACTTGCACATTATAGGTTTTCATCTACCCAGACTAAAATATTATAAGGTGAATAGAGAGCAGGGGTTTCAAACTGAGGGCAAGGAGGTCTCTGAAGACCAGCACTTACATGTAACTGTACAATTCTTTACATCACTCTTCCCTAGAGGCACTCCACAAGCATATCAAAGTCAGACTTCTCTGGTTACTTTATCTTGATTCCACATGTTTGTTACAACCTCAACTGTAGTCTGCTTATCAGAGTCTGGGAATAGTGCTTAAAAGTGTTCTTTAAGCTCTACAGAGGAAAAAAAAGGTCCTTACCCTTTTCTCAGGCACACCACAACTGACAGGTGCCAGCAAATTAAGTAGGAAGGACACTAAGTAGTAAATAAGGTGGTTTCAAACTTTCCCAGCAGTTGCTTTTGACTGCTGACATCTTAATATCTTATGAACTAGTGAATGGAGGTCAAGGGGAAGGAAATGGTGGTAACAATGCCATGAAAGGCAATGATTTCACTGCAGACATTTTAGCATCTTGCCTGCTGTTCTGCCTGCCCATAAGTGGCAGATTTCTGCTAATTTGGTTTGACAATAAACTTTTAGAACTGTCAAGTGCTGAGATATCTTTGCGTATCTGCATTCATGTTTGCTTATTGTAACCCGTCAGATAACTTTCCATCCCATAGGTTAAGAAGAAAACCTAGTTTTCTACTTGGTATTGCCTTTGCATCATTCATGATGGGCTTTCATGGCAAATTAAATTTTGAAGAGTCACGAGTCATTTACCACTGCATTTGCCTATCTTTCATAGACAGCTACTGCTTATTGCTCTGGGCTATCCATCTGTTTCTCTAGAGATCTGCCTGCCATATATTTTCCCCCTATCTACATCTGCAATATTTATGCTTACCATTTTTGTGCATTTGTTTATCTATTTCTATTCCCTCTGTCTTTTCTCATGTATGCGTGTTTATCTAAGGAAAGAGTAGTATGTCACTATCTGTTTTCATGCATCAGGAAAACCAGCTCAGTTCCTTGAGAAGACAAACATGAAGAACACATGAACTCTTGGAAATCATAGGTACACATACAACATATTCAAACACTCATTACAGAGACCAGCTGTGGCCCTCAGGGGGAACCAGGTGTCTAGGTGAATTTTTGTCCTCATGAAAACTTGTTTCAGGATCTCTGACTTTTCTTCTGAAGACAGCAGGGGCCTGAAAGCCTCTCTCAATGAAGAAAAATGGAAGCATCCACCTGCCTGCCTGCTCCATGGGAAGGTAGAAGCAAAAGAGCCAGTTGAACAGGACTACCCAGCACAGCAAGTTGCTGTGGAGACACTTGGGTTCAGGCCATTTGTGAGAAATATTTCATATATCTTTTGCCTGTGGGAATTACAAAGTAAGCAAAAGGTTCATTTTGGTACTGATGTCATCTTCCCCCTAAAATCCAAGGTTAGTCCTAAGACTTCAAGGCAACAGAAGGAACAAATGAAAATAAGTCACTGTCAAGGACTAAACTGGCTACTAAAAGCATGAAGAAGCTATCTTTTCAGCAGCTGTGATAAGCATTGCTATTTCATATTGTGATGGCTTTAATCATATGCTGGCTGTTTACAGACATAATGGAGGTATTTCCACCTGGAGGTGGATAGTACAAAATTGAGAGAAAGAAGAAAATCTGAGCTCTCTATTCAAATATATCCCATAGCAGAAGATGGAATTTATGAGGGATATTAGGAAAGATAAGGGCATGGTCCTTTGGAATAGTGGAGAGAAGATATATTGCTTGGTTTTATTGGACTCCTTGAATGAAAGCAGAGAGTGAGGCAAACTAGTGGGTAGCAGAAGAAAAGGGAGAATGCATGAGATTTCACCCTGGTTTTTGGTTGCATCCTCAAGCAGTTTATATGAAGCCATTTAGACCTACAGATGGCAACTTCTGCACATTTGTTTCCTTGGACACAGTGCTTTTCAGGCTATGGATCTCTGGTCCCTAACAAATATAGTTAATGTCTCTGGTACAGGGAACGTAAGAGTTGCTTATACACCTAAAAATAGACCAGACATCACAGGCTTCAGACTGAGAGCTACTGCACAAATACATACTTACATGTAATATTCACCATCACTACTTTGTAGAAATAAATGAATGTTAAGCCTACCCCCTGACATCTCTGCAGAGTAAAAAGAAATAATTTAATTCTTGTTTTCAAGTTTTCAAGAAATAGAAGATAGATTTAGAAGACATAGTAAGCAGCTATTTCATTGCAAACCCAGAAAAAATCTGTTACAGAAAAATTGCAAGTTACTGCCTAGGGCACAAGAATCTGACATGTCAGTCTCCAGAAATGAAAACACACTCCTGACAGTCAAGCTTTTCCTGAAACATACATAGTGAGATTTTATCTAATATTAAGAACATTTTTAAAAGCTTAATGTGTAACAGAAATAATCACTTTCCTTGTAAAGAAAATGTATACTAATTCACTACCAAATTATTTCTCAGTAATTCAGTGTCATGGATGCTGGTTTGTATCAGTTGACACTAAGTGGGACAAAAATATATAATATCAATGCAAAAGGAGTGATTAACTACTCCAAATAGCACTTACAGCTACGATACTCAATATTGGCTGTCTTCTCATTTAACAATCAGTGTATAATTCAAAGCTTTCAAAATATACCTGCACACCAGCAGATTCATGGAACCAGTAAGCAGGACAGAAAAGCACAACTACCTCCCTTTTTCACTGAAGACTACAAAAATATAACTGTGATTTAGTTTATTTAAGGGCAATGTTCAACAGCTAAAAAATTGAGTAGGGTGCAAAGATCAGGAACCAAAGGTTGTAGGAATGGGGTGACATCAGACTGGGGACCTGTTATTAGTGGGGTTCCACAGGGCTCCATTCTCAGCCCTGTGCTCTTCAAAATCTTCACAAATTACTTGGATGCAGGACTGGAAGGAATACTAAGCAAGTTCACAGATGATACAGAGCTGGCAGGAGCTGTTGCCTCCATTGAAAGCAGGAAGGCCCTGCAGAGAGACCTTGATAAATCAGAGGGCTGAGGAATCACCAGGTGTATGAAGTTCAGCAATGGAAAGTGGTGGATTCTGCTCCTGGGATGGGACAATCTTGGATGTACAGACAGACTGGGAAATGTGATGCTGGAGAGCAGGACCATGGAAAGGGAGCTGGGGCTTCTGGTCCATGGCACGCTGAACAAGAGCCAGCAGTGCCCTGGCAGCCAGGAGGGCTGACCCTGTCCTGGGGGGCATCAGGCACAGCATCA